ATCCCTTTTCAGAGTCCTAGATCTGCCCATGACTGCCCGAGTCCTGGCCTCAGCCCCAGCCCCTGCCCTCTTGAACCCACGTGTCCCAGGGACCCTGCTGCCACAGCTTCCTCTCCACTCCTACAGCCACAACTAAATGCTCTGGTCTTTACCAGCCTACAATAACTCCTTTGAGGCAGATCCAAGGGGTGCCCTGGTGGACTTGCACCCCCTTTTGATTCCTGTTCCACCAAAAGTTTAAAGCCAACTACCTGGGAGGAGCAGCACATCTACTCTGCTACACCCCCCTGGCCCCTGGGGATCCTGCTAATGTGCGACACCCCTCCCAGCAGGAGGAGCTCCCTAATACAGCATCCGCCCCCCTACCCCACGTCAGGGTCCCTCCAAAGATCCCCTGGCACTATCAGGGTGACTCACGCTGCCCGGCATTGTTCACAAGACAGTCCAGGTGCCCAAAGTGCTGCAGGGTTGTGGATACCAGGGCCTGGGAGAGGGGAGCAAGGAGCGGGGGTCAGAGGGAGAGAGCCAGGGGTATAGGGAATCAGGGGAGGACAGTAGGGATTTTTGGGGTTCAGGGCAGATTGGGAGGGACAGGCCTTATCAGACCCAGCCTCAAGTGCCTACCATCTTGAGGTGCTGTATGATGAGCAGGGGGGCTTGAGACCCCTATTGCTTTCTCTTTAAAGACCTCTCCCCCACTCCTCCCCAAGCCCGACCCACCTGGATATCCTGTTCACTGGTGACATCACAGGGCCAGAAGAAGGGCTTCCCGGGGCCACCCGACTCCTTTAGTGCCTGCTCCAGTGCCTCCCCCACCTCCTCTGCAAGTGAAAAGGGAAGAGGGGTGGGGAGAAACAGCTGGGGAGGAGGTAGCATTAGATACTGGGGGGAATGGGAGATCCCAAGGGGAAGGGGGCATCCATAAATACCAGGCAGGGACAGATCTGGGGGCCAGAAGTGTAGGACCCTGTCCCCAATCCCAATCACCCCAGCCCTGGGATGCAAGGGGAAGCCTCCCTCCACCTCAGCCCCACAGGGTAGGGGAGATAAGGACAGGAGGTGGGGTGGGGAGGTTCACCTTCAGCTTTTGGGGCACAGAAGACCACATGAGCTCCCTGATGGACTGTGTGGGTGGAGGGGGGAGTTGTGGAGTTGCAAGGGGACAAAGTAAGAGGACAAGGTTAGTGTGAGATTGGCTGGTGCTACACGCTTCCTCCTACAGTGCAGGCAGAGGCAACATCCCCCCCCTCCTTCAGTGCTACAAGCTTCCTCCTAGCAGTACCCTCCACATCCCCCCAGGCAGGGATGGGTCTCTGCTGCCCCCTGCTGACCAGCTCCCTGCACTATACATGTCTCATAGAAATGGAAGGGCCAAGATTTGGTGCTGCGGGGTGAGGGGTGGATGGGCTAACACAGCCTTTTCACCACCAGCTCAGCCCCATGACAGAAAGCTGGGGTGGGCATCAGGGTCCCCCCTGACAGGAGCTGTTAGTGGTGGAGGGCACAGGGGCAGGCCAAACCCAGGGCTGGGTAACAAAGGCAGGGGACAGAGGTGGGCTCCATTGTAGGCTTCCCCCCCCTGCCACACACACATCTCTGGCCTCTTCCCCCCTCCAAGTCAGTGACCTGCTGGATGGACAGTCACGGGACAGACAAAGTCCAGCTGGGTCCAAGCCTTGGCCCTGCCTCAAAGTCCTCTCCCCACCCAGGCCCCAAACCCAGCCTTGCAGATCCCCCACTATATCTGCCACCCCATGCCTCAGCCCCCAACCCCTCCATGGTCAGACATGGCAGCCCCGTCCTCCCTGCTCCCCCATGCCACCCCTTGACCCCCACAATCCCAGCCCCCCAACTCACTGGCCCCCTGCCCCAGCTCAGAGCCCCCCCCTGCATCACCCCAAGGACTCCCTGCTCCTTCACCCCCACCTCCCCGGCTCTCCCACAGAGTCCCTGCAATAGCCCTGACTCCAGCTCCCTTCAGCCCCCACACCTAATACCCCCAGTCCCACTCATCCCCAAGACCACTGTACCCAGTCCCTGCCCTGCCCCATCCCATCCCCTCAGACCCAGTGCACCCTGATCCCAGCTCCCCCAGCCACCCCACACCCAATACCCCCCAGTCCCACTCACCCCCAAACCCACTGGACCCCAGTTCCTGCTCTACCCATCCCAGCCCCAGCACACAGAGACCTCTGTCCCCCCTTACCAAACTCCCTGACGATGGCTTCCCCGATGCCCCTCGTGCCTCCCGTCACTAGGGCAACCTTGCCTGGGTAGCGCAGCCCCGAAGCCATGGCCAGGCCAGCCCAGCCCCAGCTGATCCGGGATCACGTGTTCCCCCCTGGGCAGGAGTTATAAAGGAAGAGGAGAGACAGATGCACCCTGGGAAATATAGTCTCTTGATTTGGGGGGGGTGGGGTGGGGATTGGAATGGGGCATCTCCTACCAAGGGGCACCACTGCAGGGCCAGATTAACACATAGGCAGACTAGGTACATGCCTAGGGCCCTAAGTGAAGAGACTCAACTGTGCTTTTTTTACCTATTATAATTATTGAGTGAAAAAAAGGAATATACAAATGTTATCTTCATCTGGTTTCCCTAGGGTCCACTAAAGGGTTAATCTGGCCCTGCACCACTGGGGTCCTTACACATGTAATTCCCAGGAAGCGGGGGGCAGCAGTGGTGCTGGTTGCCTGTGTTTTGCTATGGGGTTTCCCAGGCTTCTGGGCTTTACTGATTGCCCCCTTCCCCACCTTTCTGCTGCACGTGTCAAGGTGTTTTTAAGCCTCCCTCCAAGGCATTGGGTGTTGGCTGCTTGGGGATTGGGATTGGGATTGGGTTGTGCCAATTGGGTTGTGTCAAGTTCATCATGGGGGCACAGAAGGGAATTGGTGAGGCTTTATTCACCAAGGCGCCCCTGGGGGTTACAAGAAATAATGGCCATAAGCTAGCAGAGAGCAGATTTAGACTAGACATTAGGAAGAACTTCTTCACAGTTAGAGTGGCCAAAGTCTGGAATGGGCTCCCAAGGGAGGTGGTGCTCTCCCCTACCCTGGGGGTCTTCAAGAGGAGGTTAGATAGGCATCTAGCTGGGGTCATCTAAACCCAGCACTCTTGCCTGCCTATGCAGGGGGTCGGACTCGATGATCTATTGAGGTCCCTTCTGACCCTAACGTCTATGAATCTATGAATACTCCTGCTGGAACCAAAACTAGCGCTTTCACCCCATGGTGGTGCATTTTGTTTTTACACTGACCTGCTTCTAGCAAAGGGAGTGGGAGGAATGCAATTGGTCTGGGGTATGGGGAGGGGGGTGAACCCCTTGATTGCTGGGCTGGTTCTTATAGGGGCATGGAATTGGACTCAGAGAGCAGGAGACTTAGGTTTCAATTGGATATCAGGAAAAACCTCTTTACTGCTAGAGCAGTGAGGCTGTGGACTAGACTGCCTAGAGGAGCTGTATGCTCTCCATCACTGGAGGGGCTCAAGGAGAGGTTGGACAGGCACTGGTCAGGAATGATCTAGGTGTAGCTCTGCCTGTGTTCTGCTCTGGGGGTTTCCCGGGCTTTGCTGGTTGCTCCCACCTTTCTGCTACAGGTGTCCGGGTGTTTTTAAAAAGCCTTCCTCAGAGGCACTGTGTGTTCGCTGCAGCCAAGGCTGGGGATTGGGATTGGGCTGTGCCAGTGCTCCTGCTGGATCTTAAAGCCAGAGGCTTCTGGCTAGAGGGTCTTGCCCCTCCACTCAGGGTCAGACCGACTGCTGTATTTGAAGTCAGGAAGGAATTTTACCCCATGGTCAGATTGGTGAGGACTATGGGGGTTGTTGCCTTCTGCTGTAGCAGGAGGTCTGGCCCTTTTCCTGAGGAGAGCATATATTAACCCTTTACAGCAGCAAGATGTTGGCTGCTGCAGTCCTTCTTTACCTGCAGCAAGTTTGGGTGTGATGTCTTGTTTTGGTCATGGCTGACAGTAGTTCTGACAGAGGAAGTACCATGATCACCATGGTGGCTTTCCCAGGGAGAGGGGTAGTACCTGGGTGGAGGTAATATAGTTACCCTCTCATTTACATTTCCAGTGGGAAGATCTTGGCTTATGGTAGGGACACTCCTCCTCAGTTTGCTCCTGCAGCCATATGGCTGAGGGAAAGCAAACCTGGGGATATACAAATCCCCAAGCCTCTGGGCTTGGGCCTGCATGTAGGACACCTGCCAAATGATTTTGAAACATCTGAAGCCCCAGGTTGGGGTAAAGGATGTTTGCTGGTAGTAGGGCCATATATAGTTCTTGAATGATTCACGGATTTGGAATTGATTTGGCTTAGAACATGAAAAATTTTCCATTAAAAAAAAGTAGTTTTATGAATAGGTTAGACTGTGGATTTGCATAGGATGGCTTGGATCAGGCAGGGATTGGACTAGAGGACCTCCAGAGGTCCCTTCCAGCCCTGCTTCTCTACAATTCTATGATACACAGGTCTGGTCTCTCCTGAGGTGGGGCTCTGTGGGGAGTAATGTAAGAGGAAGCGCTCCCCTACTCCAACCCTCCAACCCCAGCAGGGGACAGCATGGAGGAGGAGGCAGTTGGCAGAAGCTGGCTGTGCAGGTCCCTTCCAGCCCAATTTCTCTGATTCTATGCTCTACCTTGTGGCCCCATGGGCTGGGTGACTGGCATGGAGCTGGATTGGGCACCACATGCCAAGATTGGGGTCCTACACTGCCCTGATCAGCCCTGTGCTGCCCAGATTGGCCCCGGCACCATCCAAATCAACTATATGTGCCCTGTCTAGTACATAGGGCTAGTCAGGGGAGCGGTGTTTAATGTAGCCACCGCTCCCTGCTGGCCAAACTTCCAGACCCATTAAGGAGCCCTGCAGCCAAATGACACAACTCCACAGGCAAATTTGGCCTATGGGCCAGGAATTGAGCACCCCTGGGATACAGGGCTTTTTGGATGGGGATTTGATTTGGGAAAAAAGATCAGGACACAGAGCTGAACAGCACAAACTTTATTGAATATATTTGCCTGCTAAGGCTGGGTTGGGTTCCCAGTACCTCTGGGGTGAGGGGGCAGCTGTTTATCCAGGAATCCCTTCACCCAGGGTTGAAGTGCAGTTGGCTCTGGGGTGGGGCATGCTGGGGGTTGGTTATACAGGGCACCCCTTCTGGCATTGAGATGCCACAGGAGCTGCCTGTATTAGAAAAGCTTCCTCAGCACCCCATGCTCCACCGCACCTTTTCATCACACCCACAGGTCTCCAACTGGGGTGTGAGGGTTGTTTGTACGACCCCAGACATGTTTGGACAAATCTGTCTGGCTCCAAGCCCCAGGTCTGGAAATGCAGAGGGTGGGAACTAGGGAGGATGACGGATCCCATGAACTTCCTCTTCCTTCTAGATGCTGATCTCAGCTCTCTGGCTAGCACAGTCAGCAGGAGATGGAGGCAGGGCTGAGATGGCAGAGAGCTGTGGGTTGGGAGCGAGAGGCACCAGCAGAGCGGTGAGGGAGGGGAAGGGGGCTGCAGGTGAAGAGTGAGGGGCACTGCCGGAAGGGCAGGGCTGCCTAGCAGGAGCTGAAGAGAAGGTGTTAAGGGGCACCAGTCAAGCAGGGGAATACTTGGGGGTCCCCAGTGGCCCTCTCTTCATGGCAAATAGAGTGACCCTCAGCTCCAGGGTGGAGGGGGCTGTGTTTCCCTGTCTGACCACAGAAGGGTGCCCTTATTCAATGCAGAACTGGGGAGAGGGCAACAAGATCCCACATGGAGTGCTTCTCCCCCCAGCCCCCTTGGTTGGGGATATCGAGGCCCCCAAAACCCCCCCAGCCTGTCTTCCCTCTCCCCCTCACATCCCCAGTGGACTTGGGAAAGTCCCAGCTAGGACTTCAGCACTGCATCCTCCTCTGGGGGCGCCCTGAGGGCAGGACTTAACCCCACTCCACAGCCAATGGGCTAGAAGCTAGACTGGAGCAGCGTAATTCTGATTGGCTGGCTGACTTCACTCAGGTGCACTCTCACCTGGCTGGGTTTGGTGCCCCCACTCTGCCCCTGATACCCACCATTAACCAAACCCTCATTTCCTACAATCCTTTGCTCCCCATAATCCCTTGCGGTGGCAGGATTGGATGGTGCAGGAGAGGACACCTGATTGGATACCTCAGGTGAAACTGACACCTGATTGGTTGGTTCAGGCAGCGATGTATCAGGCATGGATGAAGCTTGATTGGTTGCCTCTGTCCAAGATGGTGACACCTGATTGGGCATCTCAGACAAAGCCGATATCCGACTGGACACCTCAAGAATGGGCAATGCCCAATCAGAGTTCCAAGACAGAGGTGAGCCCTGATTGGCTGCTCCTGACCGTAGCACTGTGCTGATAGGAAACACTGCACGCTGACTGGGGGAGCAGTCTCTCTCAGCCACAACGTGATTGGCCTGGTATTCCCCATGGATGCGTGTGGCAGAAAGCATGAGATGCTGATTGGTCAGTGCATCCAGTTGCTCTTGGTGGGGCTCTGAGTGGGGCTTGAGTCCCCCAAGCTGGGGCTCATATGGGGTCCTCCCTGCAGAGAGAAACAAGGCAGGGTCACCCTTCCTGTCTGGAGCCTGGCATGCGGCCACTTCTGGGGTAGGATACACCAAGGGCTGGTGATACAGCACCCCCTTGTCCAGGGCTGAGATTCAGCTGGCTCTGGGGTGGAGCCTGTTGGGGGCTGGGAATACACAGAGAGGAGAAGGGACCTTTTATCTGCCTTGCTGCCCCTATCGCCTCCACCTGTCTCTTCCCCCTTGGGAGCTGCTGTCAGGAGTCAGGAATTTTCCCGACAGCTGGGACACGTTCCAGGCATTTTTTGCTTCACTTGCCTGGCTGTTTTCACAGCCCTGATTCAGTGGTGGGGGGGGGCAGTGAGGGGGGAAAGGGAGGCCCACTGGGAGTGATGAGGGGGAGCTGGAACCCAGGCGCCCTAAGTCCCAGTTCCTCCCCAACCCCCTGCTCCAACCCACCAGGCCCCACTCTCCTGTCCCAGTGTTCACTGGAACCCAGATGTCCTGGCTCCCAACCTACCCTCTAGCTTCAACCCACCAGGTCCCACTCTCCCCTCCCAGAGCTGGGCTGGAACCCCAGTGTCTCAGAGGCTCAGCCTGTTACCTGTGATGAGTTTGCTGCGTTGAGAGGCCTCGCTTGCCAGGATGTAGGACAGGCTGACAATCCGCTGCCGGTCTCTCTCGGCACCTGGGACGCAGGGACCCCAGGGCCCCCCATTCGTACCCCCCCTGCAGGGCTGGGCTGGCTCTGGGCCTGGGTTGGGGGGTGGGACCAGGAGGGGTAGCTGGTGAGGGTGGGGAAATTTTAGAGTGGAGGGACAAGTCATGATACCCTGATGGGCCCTCTCCCAATGCCCTAGGCCCCTCCCTGCCCATAAAACCCTTCCCCTCACTGCCCCACATCATGCCCATGGGTCTATGTAGCCTCATAACCCTTCCCCCACACTATGGTCCCTCCAACCCCCATGCTCCAACCTCCGTGGAGCCTGTATCCTCTCTCTCCACGCTACAGGTCCCCTGCCTCCATGCCCAGGACGCTGTGTCCTGCCACACCCAGGGCTCTGTGCCCCCGCTTATTCTGCTCCCCCTACTCACACCATGGTCCCCCCACACTCATGCCAGGGGTTCATGTATCCCATAAGCCACCCCTCACACACCACAGTTCCCCTGCCCCCATGCCCAGAGCCTTATGCACCCCATATGCTTTACCCCCACATCTTCTTCCCCCATGCCCAGAGTTCCTTGCATCCCTATAGCCCCTCCCCCACATATGGTCTCACCCCTGCCCCCCTCAGTTCCCATCCCAGATCCTCCTCCCCAGTCTCTCTCTCTTTCTTTCAGGATCCCCCTGCTTCAGCTCTTGTGGCAGGGTGGGCAGGGCTGGACTGGGCAGGGGAGGCTGGTAATTTAAGAGGTCCTACAGGCAGACGGCAGGGTTGGGGCTCTCTTAATCTGTGGGGTGCAGTGAGGCCAGGCCCATTTCCTGGGGCAGGAAGGAAGGGGACAAGCCATCGCAGAGAGAAAGGGCCTGGGGAGAATAAGGAGCATCCCCCCTGGCCAGGACCTGAACTCAGCTAAGTCTGAGCCCCAAACCCAACAGTCATACTGCCCTCCCAGGGCTGGGGAGAGAACCCAAGTGTCCTAACTCAAGCTCCATGCCCACTGGACACCACTACCCTCCTACAGCTGACCTAGAGCCCCTGGGCTCTCTGGGTTGGGTGGGGGGAAGCTGGATTATCCTGGGTATAGGAGTCAGGAAACAGCCCCACTTCCAGAATAAGGGGACCTGGTCTCTGGCATGCTCCACCCTAAAGGGAAGTGGGTGTGGCCCCAGGCAGCCCTGCCTCTTGTCTGCATGGAATCCCCTCTCCCTGCCAAGAATGCCTGTGTACCCACCCGGCTGGCACTGCCCCGGAGGGAGCTGCGCCGGGGCCCCGGGGGGCTAGGCCTGCCTCCATCCTGTGACCGCTGCGCTTCCTGGTGGCGCCGCATCCGCTCCAGCTGCTCCTGGGCACTCATCCGTGTGCGGTGCAGGGTGGAGGGGACAGGGACACTCACCTGTGGGAGGGCACAAGGAGATGGCCATCGGGGGATCAGTGTGCTGCAGGGGACCCAGGCATCTGGGTTCCCAGCTCCTCCCCAGGTCTAACCCACTGGACCCCACTCCCTGCCCATAGTTGGGCTAGAACTCAGGCATCCTGGCTCCCAGCCCGCTGCTCAGATTCGCTAGACCCCTTCTCCTGGGACAAAATCCAGATGTCCAGACTCCCAGCACCTACCCTCTCCTGGCTCTAACCCACTTGACCTCACAGCCCACCCTGCGCTGGGCTAGAATCCAGGAGTCTGGACTCCCAGGCCCTTCTGCTCTAACCCACCTGACCCCACTCCTCTCCCAAAGCTCAGCTAGAACCCAGGCATCTCATATACCTTGGCAGGCAGCTCTACTGGTCTCTGTTCCCACAGCTCATAAGATGCTGGGCTGGGGGTCCGTGGGAGATGGAGGGCAGCAGTTTGGGAGCCAAGACCTATGGAGGGAGAGGAGCAGAAGTTATTAAAGGGGCTGGGGCACAAGAGGTTAATGCCAATCCGGGTCAGCAGCAAAAGTGAAAGACCCACCTGGTGCAATGAGGTTGGGGCTCCCTCTCTCTGGCTCTGGTGATCTGGCCCCTCCTCTGGGAGGACTCTGGGGGGGCCTTGAGCCCCAGGTTGCTCCCCCAAACACTGCAGAGACAGGTGGGCTCTGCAGGGGAACAGAAAGGTGAACCCAGGGCTATGGAGACAGCAAGGAGCTATGGGTTGGGAGTGAGGGGCACCAGCAGGGTTGGGGAAGAGCAGGGGGCTGAGCATGAGGGGCACCTGTAAGACTGCAAGGTGGGGTGGGGGTGCAGGGGGCTGTGATTTGGGAGTGAAGAGCACTGGCAGGGGTGTGAGGATTGGGGAGAGCGGGTTGAGAGAGACTGGCACCGGCAGGGCTGGGGGTGTTCCAACCCCACCCTACTGCTACTTACATGCCCAGCTGCCGGTTGGTCCATCCGCCCAGTGGGCTCCAGTGTAGGCTCATGGTCAGGCGTGGATTGGGGCAGGGGAAGAGGCAGATTGTGGGGAGTGACTCCGGGAACCTACAAGTTCACCAGGAAAAGGAGCAGAAACAGCTTGGTGACACCCTGAGGTGTGGCAGCCTCTGGTGTGTGGTGCATGGAGAGCTGGTCCTACAGGGCTCCCTCACCTGGCACTGAGATGCAGCTGCCTCTGGGGTGGGGTGGGGTGTGTTGGAGGCTGTTTCCCCCCCACACACACACACACACAGTGAACCTAGGATACAGGAGATCCCCTGTGTGACCCCTGTCCCCCACAACCCACCCCGAGGCTCCAGGACAGCAGCCCCCTCACCGTTAGCAGTAGCTCTTGAGGATCCCTGGGTTCCTCCAGCCCTGGGAAGGGGAAGGAGCTGGGAGTTGACCCGACCCAATGCTCCAGGACCGGGGAGGTGGCTGGGGAGAGCCCTGCAAAGAAGACCACCCAGTGTCAGCATCCCCCTTTGTCCCCAGCCTCCCCCCCCCACCCCACTCCGTGCAGCACAGCACCCTCCCTCACCCAGCTCCTGCCCCACACAGCACAGTGCCCTTGCAGCCCCCTGGGGAGGGCTCTGGCACCTGGGCATCTCCTGGTGTCTGGCACGGGGCAGGGGGGACCATGGGCTTTCAGCCCTGCCAGGATGTCCTCAATCATCCACAGCTCCTGCTTTGCGGCCTCCTGCTCCTGAAGACAAAGGGCAGAAGGGTAAAGCCAGCCTGGTATCTACCCCCCTTCTACATTGCAACAGTGGGCTCAATTAGCCTAGTACCCCTGTCCTTCATCAGAGTAACAGTCCCATCCAGCCCAGTACCCCTCACTATCATAGCAATGGTCCGTCCAGCCTAGCACCACCCCCACCATCAAAGAAATGGTCCCATTCAACCCAGTACATCCCCCAACCCATCACAGCAATGGTTGATCCTATCCAACTTTAGGTTGGACCTTAGAAAGAACTTCTTCACAGTAAGGGTTGCCAGAATCTGGAATGGGCTTCCAAAGGAAGTGGTGCTCTCCCCTACCTTGGGGGTCTTCAAGAGAAGACTGGACAAGCACCTAGCTGGGGTCATGTGACCCCAGCGCTCTTTTCTGCCCAAGGCAGGGGGCCAGACTCAATAACCTACTGAGGTCCCTTCCGACCCTAACATCTATGAATCTATGAACTCTGTACCTACCATCAAAGCAATGGTCCCATCCAGCCCAATAACCCTCCCCTTTTCCCTTTTCACAGCAATAGGTCCATCCAGCCCAGTACTACCCCACCCCATTACAACAGAGGTCCATCCAGACCTTCCCCTATCACAGCAATGGTCTCATCCAACCCAGGACCTAGTATCACAGCAAGAGTCCCATCTAGCCCCACACAGCAGTGGCCCTGTCCCCCAGCAATGGTTCCATCCAGCTTGGTATTTCCTGCCCTCCAAGCAGACCAATGGGCCCATTTAGCCCAGAACCCTCTCCCCTGGCACGGACCCTGTGCCCATCTACTCCGGTATCAGGCCTTTTCCAGTGTTAGTGCTGCTGGGCCCAGACACCCTAGTGGTCCCCTCTGCTCTGCTTCCTCCAAGAACCCAGCTCCCAGCACTGATTGCCCGGGGAGACCATGAGGCAGGTGATCCTGCAACCTAACCCCTTCAGATGTGGGGCTGACTCACGTGGGGGTGCCCGAGGTGCCGGATTTGTGCCAGGGTCTCTCTCAGCATCTGTAGCTCATTTTCAAGAGCAGCATACTCTGCCCAGGCCCTTTTGCTGTCCTGGAGGGCAAACAGAAGCTGTTTGTGCAGCCTGACATGCAGCCACCTCTGGGGTGGAGCATGGTGAGGGCTGTTTGTGCAGGGAATCCCTCCTTTGCCTCTGAGATGCAGCTGCTTTTGTGAGGGTGCATTTTGAGAGCTGCCCATATAAGGACCCTAAGCCTGGTACCGATGCAGCCATCTCTGGGGTGGAACATGCTTAGCCCCCACTCCCAACACACACACACACTCACTCTCTCTCTTTCTCTCTCTCACCAGTGCCAGGTCGCTTAGCTGGGCTCTCACTTGGACCAGCTCATCTTGCAACCGCCTCTGCTGGTACCAGATCTTTTCAGTGGCCAGGTCGTGCCCTTTGAAGTCCTCCAGCTGATGGCGGGTCACTTCCAGGGCTTTCTCCAGCCTCTCCTGGAAGGGATCAAGGCTGATTTAACCCCTGGGGCAAGGGGACACAAGTATCTGAGAGGACTTGCATAGAAATCACAGAGAAGCAGGGATGGAAGGGGACCCCCCCTTCAAGGTCATCTAGTCCAGTGGTTCTCAACCTTTTCTGTATCAGGACCCATTTGTAAACATCAATGGTCAATCCCAACCCAGTGCCCCTCACTCCCGACCTGCTGCCCCCTGCTCCCAGGCTCCTGCCCCACAGTGCATGGGACAGGGAGTGGGTATGTGGGGGAGAGAGGGTGGAACTCTGCCAGCCTACAAGGAAAAAGCCACGGTTTGCCATGGTTTTTCTCCTTTAAAGGAGAATCCATTTTTAAAGTTTGTTCATGACCCTTTCATATATTCTTGCGACCTACTTTTGGGTAGTGACCCACAGGTTTAGAAATGCTGATCTAGTCCAACCCCTGCCTGAGGCAGGATCATCCCTATCTAAACGACCCTGTACAAATCCATAATCTAAGCTCTTTGTAAAACTGCTATGAACCCTGACACAACACAAGACATCACACCCTAACCAGGCACAGGTAAAGCAGGGGGATCACGGCAGCCAACATGCTGCTGCTGTAAAAGGTTGTTAATATATGCTTCCTCCCAAATCCACACCAATCTGATCACAGGGCAAAATTCCTTCCTGACCCCAAACACAGCAATCAGGCTGACCCTAAGTGGAGGGCAAGACCCTTTAGCCAACAGGTTGAAGTTCCAGCAGGAGCATTGGCACAGCCCAGTCCCAATTCCCAGACTTGGCTGCAGCCAACACCCAGCGTCTCTGAGGGAGGCTTAAAAACAACTTGACACATGTAACAGAATGGCAGGGAGGGGGCAACCAGCAAAGCCCAGAAGCCTGGAAAATCCCCATAGCAGAACACAGGCAGAGCTACACCTAGATCATCCCTGACCAGTGCCTGTCCAACCTCTCCTTGAACCCCTTCAGTGATGGAGAGTGCACAGCTCCCCTAGGCAGTCTAGTCCGTTGCCTCACTGCTCTAACAGTGAAGAGGTTTTTCCTGATATCCAATATAAACCTACAGTCTAAAACTCTAAACCTAGTCTCCCAAGTCTAATTCCAGCCCCCTTTAAGAACCACCCAGCAATCAAGGGGTCCATACCCCACATACACGCTTTGCTCTTCATGGCCTGGGCAGGTTGCATTCAGTGCACTCCCTCCACTGGAAGCAGGTCCATGTAGTAACGAAATACACCACCACTGGGTAAAAGCTTGCCTGTCGTGGGGGAGGTGTAGGGCACTGAGATGCAGCCACCTCTGGGGTGTAATGCATTGAGGGGCTGTTTATATGGGCCCGCTTGCCAGGTGCTGAGAAGAGGCAGGCATTAAATTACCTTCTCAGCCCGCAGATGGCCTGTCTCCTCCTCCAGGCTCCGGAGCAGTTTGTCTTGGCCGCAGAGTTTGGTCAGAAGGACCTACATTGAGGGGAGAACAAGGAAGGTCACATGGGAATGACATGCAATTCCAGCTGCAGCTTCTAGATGGCACTGTGGCTGACACCACTCATTCTCAGAGGAGCTGCCCCAACCCTGCTGCTGATGTGATGGCACACCCCTTTGCCAAGGTGCTGTTGCAAGCAGTGGGGTATCTGCTCAACACTTCCTGTGCCCCACGTCAGACTTCCTATATAATCACAGGCTGGGGTGCAGGGTTGGGGGCAGATCTCAGAACTGCTTCCCTATACCATTGCACTGCCCTGAGTAGAAAACTGACAGGGGCCCCTCAGTTTTCTCTTCTCCATACTAAACAGTCACAGCTCTTTCAGCCTTTTAAGTCCTGCTTTCCAGGCCTCTGATTATTTTTGTCTCCCTGCTGGGCTCTTCCTAATCTGCCCACATCTTTCTTGAAGTGCAGGGCCCCAAACTACACCCAGGGCTCCAAAGGAGGCTTCCCCAGTGCTGAATAGGGTGGAAGTGTCACTTGGTTCCCTGTCATAGGATCATAGAAAAGTTGAGCTGGAAGGGACCTCACAAGGTCTGGGGACACAGACCAACCTGAACACCTTTGTAAAGTGGGCAGACCAAAACCTGATAGCATTTACTGTAGAGAACTGCAGGGTGCACCGCCTTGGGAGGAACAACCAGCATCATACTTATAGGCTCGGCAGTGCTATACTCGCTAGAACTATGGCCAAAAGAGACTTGGAGGTCCTGATTGACCACAAAATGAACATGAGCCACCAATGCAATGCTGTGGCCAGCATAGCTAATCAAACTCTGGCATGCATCCATCGATGTATCTCTAGCAAAACCAGGGGGTCCGGGACCTTCTGGTCAACCTCCTCCTGGCTCTGGCCAAGCTCACCATTTGGCTATCCAGGCGAGATGCTCTGGCCAGGAAGGTCCCTGGAGACCTTGGGGCATTTTTCCTCGGCGTCCTGCACGCACGTCTCTGGGTGGAGCATCGCTGGGTGGTAGCTACCAACACTCTAGCTGAGTTTGAGGGCCGGTGGGCGCTGTCTGGTGTGCTCTGCTTGGTGTCCGCCCAGGGAGCACTTGTTTTGGCTCTTTGACCCTGTACATGTACACCCTGTTTTCTTATGATTTGTCCCCCATAATCAGTTGAATTTTTAAAGGCTCTGGCCGCCCAACCGGTGGTGGCCCCCGATTTTTAGTGGGCTGGGCCCACGGCCTTTTTAATTCAAATAGATCTAGCAAAACCAGGGACATCATCCTCCCGCTTTACTCAGCCTTGGTGAGGCCACAACTGGAGTACTGCATCCAGTTTTGGGCCCCCCACTCAGGAGGGATGTGGATATGCTCGAGAGAGTCCAGAGGAGAGCCACCCATATGATCAAAGGCCAAAAGAGCAAACCTTATGAGGAGAGGCTGAGGGACATGGGACTCTTCAGCCTGGAGAAGAGAAGGCTCAGGGGTGGCTTGGTGGCAGCCTATAAGTACATAAGAGGAGTGCATCAGGATCTGGGAGAACAGTTGTTCACCAGAGCTCCCCAAGGAATAACAAGGTCCAATGGCCACAAAATCCTAGAAGGCTGATTTAGATTGAACAAGGAAAAACTTCTTCACATTCCGAGTAGGGTGGCCATTCGTCTGGTTTTATAGAGGACAATCCAGTTTTCTGGTCCTCTGTCCTCTACCAGACGCCTTTATGTCCTCTATTTTTCAGTGCTTGGTGGCATCCTCCTCCCCCACCGACATTGCCAACTCTCAACCTTTTTAGGTTCAGGGCATGCCCCCATAACCTCTGGAGGGGGGGGGGGCAGGGGGGCTGTCCTCTATTCTTGAGGTACCTCTATGGCCACCCTAACTCCGAGTGTCCAGGGTCTGAAACAGACTCCTCCCGGAGGTGGTGCAAGCACCTACTCTGGACTCATTCAAAAGGCGTTTGGATGTTTATCTTGCTGGGATCATTTGATCCCGGCAGCCTTCCTGCCTATGGCAAGGGGACTGGACTCGATGATTTCATGAGGTCCCTTCCAGCCCCTAATGTCTATAAAATCTATGAGGTCACAGCTAATCCAGCCCTTTGCTCAAAGAAGGATCATCCCTGACTAAACCATCCCAGCCACGTGTCTGTCCACCCTGCTCTTGAGAGCTTCCAGGGACGGAGGTTTCAGCTTCTCCAGGCAGCCTGTCCCAATGCTTGACCACCCTTTTCCAGAGTGGAAAAGAGTCAGAAAGTTCCTCCTCTTTTCCAGCCTCAATTCCGCCTGCTGCAGCTCGAGGCCATTTATCCTAGTCCTGTCCCCTGTGGCCACTGAGAAAAGTTCATCTCTATCCTTTCCATAATTGCCCTTCAGGTATTTGAAGACTGTGACCAAATCCCATTCTGTCTTCTCTTCTCAAAAATAAACAACCCTAGTTCTTCCAGCTTTTCCTCAGCAGTCTTGCCTCCCAAGTCCCTCATCATTTTTGCTGCCCTGCACTGGACTGTTTCCAATCTATCCACATCCTTCTTGAAGCACAGGGTTCAGAACTGGACACGGTGCTCCAGGGGAAGTCTCCCCAGTACTGAACAGAGTAGGAGAATCACTTGATTTGCAAATGATGCTACTGTTAATACAACCCAAAGGTTGGCTTTTTTATAATACCACCCAGTATGCTACAGGCTTCTTTTGTAACAGGAGGAAGCCAACACACTCACATCCGTGTCACCTTCAAAGCCAGGAGTGGACAGGAAATGGCTCCTATCGTGGAGTAGTGGGGCCAGACTCCGGGGCTAGAGAGAGAGAGAGAGAGAGAGAGAAAAAGGGACTGAGCAGCAGAGAACCCAGGTATCTGACCCTCCCCTATTCCCTTCCACAGAGCTGGGGTCCAGGCTCCCTTGGAGGGCAGAACAGGGGGCTGCATGGAAAGGGGAAACGGAGGCAGGAAAGGGCAGTAGCAGGGGCAGGTGGGGTCCCCGTAGGCAGGGGAGGGGTACCTACCGTGTGGGTCAGCAAAGGTCTCTTCCCATGGAGGGAGGGGCGACTGGGGGGTGGGGGCAGCGGCGGGAGGTGGAGGAGGCTGGAGGAGGTGGAATGAGGGGTGACCTGGGGAGAGAGTGGGGGGCACAGGGTTAGTGGCAATAGAGGGGGGGGAGGGGGACACAGGGAAGTGGGCAGGGGGACTCACCAGTCGGCCATGGGGGCGGGCACGAGGGTGGCCACCCCCTGGGGAAGGGAAAGCCTGGTCGGAGATCTGCAGGGAGAGGGAGAAGTCAGGAGGGCTCCCAGGAACACCCCTTCCTTGAGACCCCTCCCCCAGTCCCATGCCACAGCCCTCCAGTGCTCCCCAAGCTGCAACATCTCCTACCAATGCCTCTGACACACAGGCTCCTGCCCTGAGAAACAACCTCCCCACCAGACCCCAAACAAAGCTCCCTACCTTGACACACAGCCCCAGACCTGTTCCCTGTAGCGCAGCCCCTCTCTCCAATCATCCACAGCACAACACCCCAGACCCTGCCCCCCCACACCCCTCCCCAAGCACCCCACATTACCCGGCCCCGGTGCGGCCTCCCCAGGCTGTGGCCCAATGTGCCCGTGTTCCCTGGGAGCTCTTCTGCTGGGGTGCCTGGCCGCGCCCGGGTGGGGTGGGGGCTGCGGAGGTAGCGCCCCAGAGGCCGGGCATAGGGGTCTTCATAGGGCAGGATGTCGTAGCGCTCCGAGGGGGCCTGGGGGTGCCCCAGGGTCGACCTGCCCCTGGTCCCACCCACAGCCTGGGGATCCCCCAAGGTCTTGGAGCCTGGGGCAATGTCCATCCGACCCACAGGGGTATGGGGCCGCACCAAGGCACGGCTGTGCCAGGGGTGGGCCAGGATGGGGAGCTCTTCACAGGAGGCAGCCAGGGGGGCTGCTCGAGCTCTGCGCCGGGTCTGGGGAGGGGTGGAGGGGTCAGGGGGAGCCCCCGGGGCCTTGGAGAGCTCGACAGGGGTTGGGGGAAGGGAGTAGGAGTGGGAGGCATGGGCC